TACTCTTACACCTCCTACTCCTCCTCAACCTCCTACACCTCAACCTCCTACACCTCCTACACCTCAACCTCCTACACCTCCTACACCTCAACCTCCCACACCTCAACCTTCTCCACCTCCTACACCTCAACCTCCTACACCTCCTACACCTCAACCTCCCACACCTCAACCTTCTCAACCTCCTACACCTCCTACACCTCTTACACCTCCTCCACCTCCTCCACCTCCTCCACCTCAACCTCCTCCACATCAACCTCCTTCACCTCAACCTCCTCCACCTCCTTCACCTCATCCTACAACTCCTACACCTCAACCTCCTACACCTCCTACACCTACTCCTCCACCTCAACCTCCTCCACCTCAACCTCCTCAACCTCCTCCACCTCAACCTCCTCCACCTCAACCTCCTCCTCCACCTCAACCTCCTCCTACACCTCAACCTCCTCCTACACCTCAACCTCCTCCTACACCTCCTCCACCTCCTACACCTCCTACACCTCAACCTCCTCCTCTACCTCAACCTCCTCCTACACCTCCTCCTCCACCTCAACCTCCTCCTACACCTCCTCCTACACCTCCTCCTACACCTCACCTCAACCTCCTCCTACACCTCAACCTCAACCTCCTCCTACACCTCAACCTCCTCCTACACCTCAACCTCCTCCTCCACCTCAACCTCCACCTCCTCCTACACCTCCTCCTACACCTCCTCCTACACCTCACCTCAACCTCCTCCTACACCTCAACCTCCTCCTACACCTCAACCTCCTCCTACACCTCAACCTCCTCCTACACCTCAACCTCCTCCTACACCTCAACCTCCTCCTACACCTCCTCCTACACCTCCTCAACCCCGGAGCGTTGAGGAGTTGCGCACACGTTCGGATGTCCCCGTTGTTTTTTTATTTTCTCGGATTTGCTCCACCTCCAACCACCTCCTCATGGTCCTCATCCTCATCCTCCACCTCCTCATCCTACACCTCCTTCCTCAATCTCCTCTACCACCACCACCACCACCTCCTCATCCAGCGCCACCTCCTCCTGCCGGCTCGTCGAGACGTGGAGCTTGCTCCGGGAATCCCCGTTTCGTTTTTATTCGCAAATGAAAGGCGATGAATAAAGTTCCCTCCTCCTCGCCGTGTCCGTGTGCGCCTGTAGCCAGGGTGGCTGTGGGAGGTGTTGACTACCTCGCCCGGTCCACAGATCTCTTACACGGACACCCGGACAAAAAGGGTCAACCCGTGTAGCCTCCAGCAGAGCGGTAGGGGGCAAGTGGCGTTAGTAGCGAGTCGCAGAAACAGCAGCAGCAGCGGCGCCTATACACACTGACGCACACGCTCGCTCGCTCGCTCATACACACACTCATCCACCCGCTCACTCACCCACACGCTCACTCACTCACCCACACGCTCACTCACTCACCCACACGCTCACTCACACACCCACTCACTCACCCACCCACGCACTCACCCACACGCTCACTCACACGCTCACACACACACCCACACACACTCACCCACACGCTCACTCACCCGCTCGCTCACTCACACACACTCACCAACTCACTCTGCCACTCACACACTCACTCACCCACTCACCAACTCACTCACCCACACTCGCACACGCTCGCTCACTCGCTCGCTCATACACACACATCCACCCGCTCACTCACCCACACGCTCACTTACCCACACGCTCACCCACCCACTCACCCACTCACCCACACGCTCACCCACACACTCACACTCACACACACACTCACTCACCCACACGCTCACTCACTCACCCGCTCGCTCACTCACACACACTCACCAACTCACTCTGCCACTCACCCACACACACTCACCCACACACTCGCACTCAATCTCACTCACCCACTCTGCCACTCCCACACATCCACTCACTCACCCACACACCAACTCACTCTGCCACTCACCCACACAGACACACTCACCCACTCACTCACCCACTCACTCGCCAACATTATGACGGTGGTGATGGTGGTGGTGGTGATGGTGGTGGTGATGGTGGTGGTGATGGTGGTGGTGGTGGTGATGGTGGTGGTGATGGTGGTGGTGATGGTGGTGGTGATGGTGGTGGTGATGGTGGTGGTGATGGTGATGGTGGTGATGGTGGTGATGGTGGTGGTGGTGGTGATGGTGGTGGTGGTGATGGTGGTGGTGGTGATGGTGGTGGTGGTGATGGTGGTGGTGGTGATGGTGGTGGTGGTGGTGATGGTGGTGGTAATGGTGGTGGCGAGGTTATAATTAGATTCGGAATGTGGAGCACGTGACTCCATCCAGAGAGAGGCTCGAGTGACGTCACTGGAAACTCACAGACAAAGCTCCCCCAGGTAGCCTCTAGCAGGGCTGTAGGGGCAAGTGCTGTGACACAGACAAAGCTCCCCCAGGTAGAATCTGACAAGGCTGTAGGGGCAAGTGCTGTTACACAGAGACAAAGCTCCCCCAGGTAGCCTCTGGCAGGGCTGTAGGGGCAAGTGCTGTTACACAGACAAAGCTCCCCCAGGTAGCCTCTGACAGGGCTGTAGGGGCAAGTGCTGCGACACAGACAAAGCTCCCCCAGGTAGCCTCTGGCAGGGCAGTAGGGGCAAGTGCTGTTACACATACATACAAAGCTCCCCCAGGTAGCCTCTGACAGGGCTGTAGGGGCAAGTGCTGTTACACACAGAGACAAAGCTCCCCTAGGTAGCCTCTTGCAGGGTTATAGGGGCAAGTGCTGTGATACACACAAAGCTCCACCAGGTAGCCTCTAGCAGGGCTGTAGGGGCAAGTGCTGTTACACACACAGACAAAGCTCCCCCAGGTAGCCGCTAGCAAGGCTGTAGAGGCAAGTGCTGTTACACACACAGACAAAGCTCCCCCAGGTAGCCTGTAGCAGGGCTGTAGGGGCAAGTGCTGTCACACACAGACAAAGCTCCCCAGGTAGCCTCTAGCAGGGCTGTAGGGGCAAGTGCTGTCACACAGATAAAGCTCCCCCAGGTAGCCTCTAGCAGGGCTGTAGGGGCAAGTGCTGTTACACAGAGACAAAGCTCCCCCAGGTAGCCTCTGACAGGGCTGTAGGGGCAAGTGCTGTTACACACACAGACAAAGCTCCCCCAGGTAGCCTCTAGCAGGTCTGTAGGGGCAAGTGCTGTTACACACAGACAAAGCTCCCCCAAGTAGCCTCTGACAGGGCTGTAGGGGCAAGTGCTGTTACACAGAGACAAAGCTCCCCCAGGTAGCCTCTGGCAGGGCTGTAGGGGCAAGTGCTGTTACACATACATACAAAGCTCCCCCAGGTAGCCTCTGACAGGGCTGTAGGGGCAAGTAATGTTACACACAGAGACAAAGCTCCCCCAGGTAGCCTCTTGCAGGGCTATAGGGGCAAGTGCTGTGACACACAAAGCTCCCCCAGGTAGCCTCTAGCAGGGCTGTAGGGGCAAGTGCTGTTACACACACAGACAAAGCTCCACCAGGTAGCCTCTTGCAGGGCTGTAGGGGCAAGTGCTGTTACACACAGACAAAGCTCCCCCAGGTAGCCTCTAGCAGGGCAGTAGGGGCAAGTGCTGTTACACACACAGACAAAGCTCCCCCAGGTAGCCTCTAGCAGGGCTGTAGGGGCAAGTGCTGTTACACACACAGACAAAGCTCCCCCAGGTAGCCTCTAGCAAGGCTGTAGAGGCAAGTGCTGTTACACACACAGACAAAGCTCCCCCAGGTAGCCTCTAGCAGGGCTGTAGGGGCAAGTGCTGTTAAACAGACAAAGCTCCCCCAGGTAGCCTCTAGCAGGGCAGTAGGGGCAAGTGGTAGTGATAGGGGTAGTAGTGGGAGTGATAGTGTGTGTGTGTCTGTGTGTGTGTCTGTAGTGGGGAGCGATATTGTAGCGGTTAGCGGGTTCGATTCCCGCTCACGGCCAACACCAGTGACGATTATCTGAACCGGTCCCGGGCCTCCCCTAGGTCGACTCAGCCTCAAATGAGTACCTGGTATGGTGTGTAAACATCGCGACTGGGGAGACAAAGGCGGTCGGGCGTGGTGCTGGCCACCCACCCCCTCGTGTACCGTTCCGGCCTTCATAGGTGCTCGCTAACAGCACTTGCCCCTACAGTCTGTTAAGGCTATACGGGGGATTTTTTGTGTCTGTGTGTGTGTATCTGTGTGTCTGTATGTGTCTGTGTGTGTGTCTGTGTGTGTGTCTGTGTGTGTGTCTGTGTGTGTGTGTCTGTGTGTGTGTCTGTTTGTGTGTCTGTGTGTGTATCTGTGTGTGTGTCTTTGTGCGTCTGTGTGTGTGTGACTGTGTGTGTCTCTGTGTGTGTGTGGGATAATGAACGTGCAAGGCATTTGGGACAAATTTAGACACGGGACAGATGCAGAGGGCGTCAGGAGAGTGGGAGAGAGGGACACACAGAGAGAGAGAGATACAGAGAGAGAGAGAAAGAGCCGGGGGGGGGGGAGAAAGACAGATTGAGACAGAGAGAAAAACAGAGAGAGAGAGAGACAGAGAGACGCAGAGAGAGAGACAGACAGAGAAGACAGAGACAGAGACGCAGAGAGAGACAGAGAGAGAGAGACACAGAGAGAGAGAAAGACAGATTGAGACACAGAGAGATAAAGAGAGAGAGACTCAGAGAGAGACAGAGAGGCACACAGAGAGAGAGGCACACAGAGAGAGATACACAGAGAGAGACAGAGACACACAGAGAAAAAGACAGAGAGACACACAGAGAGAAAGACAGAGAGACACAGAGAGAGACAGAGAGAGAGACACACAGAGAGAGAAAGACAGATTGAGACAGAGAGAAATACAGAGAGACAGAGAGAGACTCAGAGAGATAAGAGAGAGACAAGAGAGAGATAAGAGAGAGGTTTGCCAGGGGAGGTACAGGGGGAAGAGACGGAGTGATTGAGGTCATAGCAACGTCGTAGAGGTGAGTCTGCGTGTCTGTATGTGTGTCTGTGTGTGTGTCTATGTGTGTGTGTGTCTATGTGTGTGTCTGTGTG